AGAAGAAGAAAAAGAAGAAGAAGGAGAAGGAGAAGGAGAAGAAGAATGAGAAGAAGAAGAAGAAGAAGGAGAAGAAGAAGGAGAAGGAGAAGAAGAAGAAGAAGAAGAAGAAGAAGAAGGAGAAGGAGAAGGAGAAGAAGAAGGTGAAGGAGGAGAAGAAGAAGAAGAAGAAGGAGAAGGAGAAGGAGAAGAAGAATGAGAAGAAGAATGAGAAGAAGGAGAAGGAGAAGGAAAAGAAGGAGAAGGAGAATGAGAAGAAGAAGGAGAAGGAGAAGGAGAAGAAGAATGAGAAGAAGAATGAGAAGAAGGAGGAGAAGAAAGAGGAGAAGGAGGAGAAGAAGGAGGAGAAGGAGAAGGAGAAGGAGAAGGAAAAGAAGAAGAAGAAGAAGGAGGAGGAGAAGAAGGAGAAGAAGTAGAAGGTTGGTCTTTGTGGTTTGAGAGGTGTATTGCTTCCAGTTGCATTATGGGCCAACGGCTTATTGTCAGTATTGCTTGATGTTTGATTAGGGGTTCCCAGTGAAGAACCGTATTGGTCTTTTGAGCTTTTGCTCATTTTCTTGCAAAAATTCTCTCGTTAAGAAATCTGATAGTTTGTTTTTCTCTCCCTTAATATGTTCTATCTCAAAAACAAAACAACTTAATTATGCTTGTCATCTTGCAAAAATATGTTTTGAAACAAGATTTTTGACATCTTTTTGAAGAACACTACGAGCAGCTTTGCAATCAGTTCTAATTAAAAAAAATTATTAAAAAGATCATCTTGGAACTGTTGAAGATACAAGACAATAGAAAGAATTTCTTTTTTGCCTGTTGAATATTTTTGTTGAGAAGGATGCCAAATACCCGAATGATATTTGACCACTTGCTCTTTGGAAGAAAGGTTTTGTTTGAGAATACCCCCATATCCTAATTCTGAAGCATCGATTTCTACAATTAATGAGGCCTGGGGATCAGGGATACCAAGACACGGAAGTTTTTTAACTATTTTTTTAATTTTTATTACTATTTTACTCATCTCATCATTCCAAGGTATTGGATTTTTTCTGTCTTGAATATAAAGGAGCACATATAATTCTAATATTAGGAATAAAATCTGCTACATAATTAATACATCCTAAAAATCTTTGAAGTTGGGTTTTATCTTTTATTTCATTAGGAAACTTATCAGCAAATTCTAAAGATCTTTGTATAGGAGTTTTAGTACCTTGGAAAATTTCATAACCTAAAAATCTAGTTTTAGTATGAAAGATTTTTATCTTTTTTTCATATACTACTAAGCCATTTTCTTTAATAATATTTATAAATTTATTAAGGTGTTCTATGTGTTGATTTATTGATATTGAAAAAACTAATACATCATCTAAGTATACTATGGTAAAGTTCATGTAATTATAAAAAATATCATTCATAATATTTTGAAATTCACTAGGAGCGTTTTTTAGACCTTGGAGCATTACATTCCACTCATGATGCCCGAAAGGTACAACAAAAGCTTTTTTGTATCTATCTTCTTCTTTTACAGAAATTTGATAATATCTAGACTTCATATCAAATGTATAAAATATTATTGCATTATGAAGTCTTTTAATAAGATCTGGCTTATTGGGAATAGGATATCTAATCCATTTTAAAACCATATTTAAAGGTTTATAATTTATTACTAATCTAGGAGCTCCTCTTTCTAATTCAGAGGCATTCATAACAAAATCCAGAACAACTCCAAGGTGATTTTGAAGGCCTTATTAATCCTTTTTCTAAATATTCTTGAATTTTCTTTTTACAATATTCCAAATATTGGGCATTCATTTGGATTGGTCGGGCTTTTGTTTTTATATCTTGTTCATTAAACCCATCAATATAAGGTAAAGATATCTCATATTTTTTACGGTGCCAAAAGGTCGTACGATTTAAATCACAAATTTCTTTTTCTATTTTTTCTTGAAATTCTTTAATAATTTTTGAATATTTGTATGTTGTAATTGTTCTTCTATTTTTTTGTATTGAATTTCTTTATTTAAAGAGTTAATATGTTTTTTCTTATTATTAATAATGCTAGTAGAATGTTCTTTTAAAAGATTTAATTCTCTTGATCTAGGAGGATTAATAAATTCAAAACATATAATATTACCTAATACTTTTGTTTCTAATCCTTTTGTGGTTATGCTAAAAGGATATAATAAAGATAAAAAAGGAGTTCCTAAAATACATTGAATATTATGTCTTTTATTAATACAAAAGAGGCTTCATAACAGATTTTATTAGTGCATATCTTGGCTGAAGAAAGTTTATAATTAATCTTCATTCTTGAACTATTAGCACTAACTACCTTTTCTTTGGTTTTTTCATAGAATCTTGAGGGTATTAAACCTTCTTACAAACAATTAATATCAGCTCCTGAATCTATTAAGGCTATTAAATTAAACTCTTATTGTCCTATTATTAACCTAATCTTACAATGCCATTTATGAACAGATATTAAA